CAGGTCACCAGTATATGTATTCTACATAAAAGCTGAATTTCAAACAGATTCTAAATTTGTAAAGAGAAATTTTAAAAAGAAACAATTGCATTTGATTAAGCATTGGACAGAAAAAGAAGGGGAAAAAAAACCCTAACAAAAATAGATTACTACCCTGTTTACCTTTCTCTGTCAAAAATAGCTATTTCAGGAAAACAAAATTCCTCTACTGTATTTCCTTGGATTTTGTCTAGCTTTCTACTTCAATCAGATGCTGCTGAGGTAGAGAATACACCCCATTCTATTTAGTGTTTCAGATCCTGGATGGAGGCCAGTATTCCATTTTTACACAATATATTGAAAAGTGCTCTTTGCTCAAAGACACCATGCTTGAAAACAGAACATTTTTCTTTGGTGCTGAGAAGATAATAAAGAATAACAAAGAAGGCATTGGGAGAGACACCACTGATGCCTCTTCTCAAATAACTACCCATCGTGCCTCAGCAGAGCATTTGACTTACTTCTCAGAAAATAGGAAATAAAAATGATTTACAGAAAAAAAAAACCAATTTGTTCTGAAATTGCGCTAGTTCCATGTGTATATATCTAACATCAAAATGGAAATATTTTCAAATAGGAGCTTGGAAGGTAGCAGTTATCAGAGAACTAAGGCCGAAAGCAGCAGATATTTGATGTTGCAATCATTGCTGATTGCTAAATAAAGTCCTTTGTTCCAGTCCTCTGCCTTCTGTGGCATCATTCCACCAAATTTGCAGCAGCAGATGGTACATGAGTCAGAAGAAATATTGAATCTTAGAAAGCAAAGTGAAAAAGGGACCAGCTACAGAGCACTGGAGATGGTGTGAATTCAGAGACTTTGAGCTCTGCTTGAAAGTAGAATAGATTTTTAAAAATGAAAGGCCTCAGTAAAGAGTTATTTTCTTTTGGTGTTCAGATGAAGAAGCAAGTTGAAAATAAGCTTACCCAATGAAATATTTTCCAATTTGACATTCTGAAGGTCTCATAGCTTTAGGATGTTTAATTGGCAATTTTTGAAAGTGATCAGAATGCAAACTTTCAAACTTTGGGTCCTTTAAAAGGCTATACCAGTTGGAAATGTAAACAGGTACCAGTATCCTATTATCATATGTGGTGGACTTGTCCAACGGCAAGAAAAATTGGTCAAAGCTAAAAAGGTGGTTAGAAGAGATGACAGCACAACAAATAGATCTAAAACCAGAACTATAATTACTAGGTATACTACCAGGGAAAAACAATAAAAGAAGCACATACTTAATGTTACATGTAATAACAGCCGCTAGAATCATATATGCACAAAATTGGAAAAATGAAAGTATATCTATAGACGAAAAGGTAATCACTGACATCAAAAGGCCCATCTTGTGATGATGAATATCTGTGTCCCTGCATAAAATGCTTCAAGCATTGTAACAGTTATTGAAAACTTCATCCATCTTTTAGGTATTCTAGTAAGTGGCATGGGCCTCTTAAATCACGCAGATTGGCCTAATTAGCAGCTTCTATTAAATGTCAGAATGACACAGTTATTATAGCACAGTATATTAAATCAAAGACAAAGATAGAGAGCTAAGATGGCGACATCTTAGTAGCAGCTTCCCTGCTGAGCAATTTATGATAGTTTATTTGTTCCATCCATTTTATAAACAGCCTAGCTACACATTTTAATTGTTATCTAGCTTTATTTCATAAACACATTCTCTGCAAGAGCTATTGTAAAACTGAAAACAATTTTTTAAAATATATCATAAAAGCTTCAGTTATGAGATATCAACACTGAAACAATGGGGAAGAGCGGGAAACTCAACAGTACAAGCCCAGACTCTACTGAAACCAACACAGCAGCCCAAAATTGATGACTATATGACAGACAAGAAAACTATGAGTAAAAATACCAAAATAAATCCTTTCTATTCCTACTTCCAATAACTGGGATTAACTAGAATTTGGAAACAGAAATGGAAAAATGATGATTATTACAGCTGTCCTTTATTTTCCATTTGAGAAATCAAACTATCTGATTGAACCCCTGACTTTATTACCCTCCCTTATCCCACCATGTCTCTCATGGGGGAAGAGCAAGTCAAACAATCACCAAAAGAATTCACAAGAGGCTTTGCTGCTCGACAATGCTTATTAACTGAACAAACTGTAATTTCAATTTTTGAATATTTAAATCCTATAAACCCAAGGGAAGACAGCCTTTGAAACTTTGGGCCAATTACGCAGATAAGCCAGCAACTTTTTCAGTGATTCAAAAACATGGGTACCAATTTTGTCCTATTTATGGACAACTAAAGGAAACAAAATTGTTCAGAACAAATTAAGATAAGAAAGGACAATCAAATACAAGGCAGAGTTTATAGCTTCACCTTCCACTAAAGAGACAAATCGAGAAAAGCACTGCACACTTCACACAAATCAAGTTGCTCTAAGTATTGTACTCAATAGATTTAACATTAGGGGTGGGGGGCACCGTGTTGCAATGGCTCTCCTCCTTTCTCTCCGACCGGTCGCAGTCTGTGTTGGCAGGGGGGCAGAGGTCGACCCCGAGGCGCCTTGTATGTGGAGTACCACAGGGGTCGGTCCTCTCGCCCCTTCTGTTCAACATTTATGTGAAGCCACTGGGTGAGATCATCTGTGGTTTCGGGGTGAAGTACCATCAGTACGCTGATGATACTCAGCTGTACATCTCCACCCCAGACCACCCCAATGATGCCCTGGAAGTGATGTCCCAGTGCCTGGAGGCTGTGCGGGTCTGGATGGGGAGAAACAGACTCAGGCTCAACTCATCCAAGACCGAGTGGCTGTGGTTTCCGGTGTCCCGATATAGTCAGTTGGTGCCATCACTGACTACTGGGGGCAAGTCGCTGGCCCCCATGGATAGGGCTCGCAACTTGGGTGTCCTCCTGGATTCATGTCTGTCTTTAGAAGAGCATTTGATGGCTGTGGCCAGGAGGACTTTCTATCAGGTCCGCCTGATTCGCCAGTTGCGTCCCTTTCTGGATCGGGACTCCTTACGCACGGTCACTCATGCCCTCGACACCTCCTGCCTGGACTACTGTAATGCTCTCTACATGGGGCTCCCCTTGAGGAGCACCCGGAGGCTCCAACTGGTCCAGAATGCAGCCGCGCGGGTGGTTATGGGAGCGACGTGGTGTTCCCATGTAACACCTCTCCTGCGTGACCTCCACTGACTCCCAGTGGTCTTCCGGGTGCACTTCAAGGTCTTGGTTACCACCTTTAGAGCGCTCCATGGCTTAGGACTGGGGTACTTACGAGACCGCCTTCTGCCACCAGTAGCCTCTCACCGGCCAGTACACTCCCACAGAGAGGGGCTCCTCAGGGTGCCGTCAGCCAAACAGTGTTGACTGGTGGCCCCCAGGGGGAGAGCCTTCTCTGTGCGGGCACCTGCCATCTGGAATGAGCTCCCCCCAGAGATATGGAGGATCCCGGACTTACGCACTTTCCGCCATGCCCTCAAGACTTTTTTATTTCAACAGGCTGGCCTGACCTAACCTCCTTTTTAATTGTTAATTTTAAATTTGTTTTAAAATAATAGGGGTGTTTTAAATTGTTTGGGACAAATTATTTAATGGGCTTTTATATTGTTTTTAAATTTTGTATTATGTGTGTTTTATCTTTTGGCTCTTCATCGCCCTGAGTCCTTCGGGAGTAGGGCGGTATATAAATTTAAAAAAAAAAAAAAAACATTGAATGCTGGCTTACCGGAACAACCCTCACTTTTCTCAGTTCAGCAATGCCAATGTAATATGATTGATCTAAGTATTGTTGAATGGTTACCTGGAAGAAAGTGACTGGTCCAAATCACCCCACTGGTTTTCATGCCTAAGGTGGGATTTGAACTTACGTTGTCCCAATGTTTAGCCTGATACCTTAACCAATTTCTGAAATGGAAAAAAGCTCCCCTGCCTAATGGTATTGGCAGCATGTCAAATGATAAAAACCACAGCAACCTAGCAGCTTTATCGTCCTTGACAAAACACTTGTCAACTTCGAATCGAACCTGGCAACAACCATTTTCCTGTTCCTCAGTTGCTACACAGAGGAGGAAGGTGTCTGACCCAGCCTTTGCAAGTAGGGATAAAATAATAAAACAACCGCCTTTTTATAACAAGTTAGTAACAGTCTTTTATTCACAGGGATAAACAAAAAATCAAATGTAATTAGTCCCAACAAACCTGGGTTTCTCCAAGAAATCCAAATTTCTTGCTGTATATTAGCAATGAATGGTTGTCTGTGATAACCAGCCACTCCCAAACCCCTACTATTTGTTTCCCAGCCAGGGAGAGGCTGGCCATTGTCTGTGTCTGTGTCTGCCTCTCCCTGAGAACCGGCTTACTGCTTTCCTTTGCTCTCCTCTCTTTTCTTTCTTTCTTTCTTTCTTTTTTTTTTTTGTGCATACGCACATCTGGGATGGGCCCCATCTGTTCCTCCACCACTCAGCTCAGGCCCTGAAGATAGCTGCCTGGGAGAGGATGGAAGGCCCTGGCTCTGCCTCTGTTTCTGATGCTGTTACCTTATCAGAGCCTTCCAAAGGCTTTGAAGCTGGCCCAGGCTCTCTCTCCACCTTCTCCTCATCTGACTATGCAGCTATCTCTGCTGGCAGCCAATGGGCCACAACAGAAGGGGAGAAGGAGGTTGGAATGCCTTACTAGACACAACAGAGAGTTTCTCGTGAGAACCAAGGTAATCTCTACTGACAATGGATAAGATTAGGGAAAAAGTGCCTGGAAAGCCTACCAATGGATCTAATTGGCCAATATGACCTGTGACACTTGGGAATGGGGTTATTTCCTATTTTAATTATACTGAAACTGTGGGAAATATTTAGAGTTGGTTTTCCTTTAGAGCCATGCCGATATGATGTACTCAATAAAGAAGTTCTTTGAGGAGGGTTCTAGTCTCAGAGTTCTGATTTGCTTGAGTTCTTTAGTCGGAACCTTGACAACACTGCTGAAATAATCATTCAAGTAGTCCTTGACTTGTGGCAGTTCAGTCAGTGATTCTCCAAAATTACAACAGCGCTGAACGAAGGGACTCATAAGTGTGACTGAAGTTACAGCCATTGCAGCATCCCCATTGGTCACGGGATCAAAATTTGGGTGCTTGCAGTCTGCCGACACTCACAACCATGGATGGGGGGACACTGTAGCTCCCCTCCACCAGCTAACTCTCCACCCCATCCAAATTCTTTTGTACCCTGTCCCCCTGCTTTGAAAGGCAGCAAGCAAATCCAAAACTACAAAGTTCACCCAACTTCTTTCTCTCCCAGTTCTGCACTAGTCTTTTGCAGTCAGCTGCCATGGCCAAAGCAGAAGTATCTCATTTCCTTTACTATGTCCTTTTCATTGCTTATCTGACTCCTTTTTGGACCTAGCTTCTCCCACAGACAGTACTACCTTGGAATTTTTTTTGTTCAGCGCATTCACCAAAGCAAGCCCAAGAAAGATTTTCCTTACATCATTTATTCTCTTATTTTTTTTAAATTAAACCCCTGGGAGATCATTTTTCTCTACTCTTCAGCCTGCCAGTGACTCACCAAGGTAAGTCACTTACATATTTTATCACACTCTTTCCAGATACATGTAGTTGAGATTGGAGGGCAGAGGTGGAGAGTTAACTTTAGCATCTAATGATGGGGAAGGAGAAAGATCAACAAATCTGTCCCCCCCCCCCAGCTTTTTTTGCTGTTTCCTTTATTGAAAAAAAAAAGTGTGTTTAATGGGCAAAAGAGGGGATAAAGCCTGGGGAAGAGTTTTGAAACCTCATCCCAGAGCAGCTGCTTTTTCTTTCAGGGCTTGCTTCCCCAAAGCCTAGCAAGAACAAGGAGAGACTACCAGCCAGTGAGGACAGAGGCCTAGTCCTCAAGTGTAGCTTACCAGTAATTCTTCTGCAAAATGTCGCCACTGGATGGATCAGTAACTTGTCTCCTTCATGCTTTAGAGAATCAGGGCTTCTCATAGCCAAGTACCCTGTTTTCCCAAAAATAAGACCTCCCCTGATAATAAGCCCAATGGGCTTTTGAGCGTATGCGCTAAAATAAGCTCCCCTCCCAAAATAAGCCCTCCCCACAAAATAAGTCTTCACTGAAAATATTTAAATGCATTTATTTATTTATTTATTTATTTATTTATTTATTTATTCATTCATTCATTCATTCATTCAACTTGTATGCCGCCTTTCTCTGAAGACTCAAGGCGGCTTACAATGCATTTAAAAACCATATATAAAACATTAAAAGTTAAACCATTAAAAACAATTAAAACCCATTCACACCATTCGTGGCCAGATCTCGCCAAATTGCAACAGCGAGATCAGCGGCCCCAGACCTGCCGGATGAGCCAGGTTTTCACTGCTTTTCGGAAGGCCAATAGGGTGGGGATGGTCTGGACCACAGGAGGTAACTGGTTCCAGAGAGCTGGGGCAGCCACAGAGAAGGCCCTCTCCTGCAGGCCCACCAGCTGGCATTGTTTAGCTGACGGGACCCTGAGGAGACCAACTCTGTGGGATCTTACCGGTTGCTGGGAGCTATGCGATAGAAAGCGGTCTCGAAGATACCCTGGCCCTGAGCCATGTAGGGCTTTAAAGGTAATAATCAACACCTTGAATTCTGCCCGGAGACCAATAGGGAGCCAGTGCAGCTCGTGGAGAATTGGTGTAATGTGGGTGTACCTAGGTACCTAGGTACCCCCACGACAGCTCTCACGGTTGAGTTCTGGACCAACTGTAGTCTCCGAACACTTTTCAAGGGTAGCCCCATGTAGATCGCGTTGCAATTGGTGCACCAGGCGAACCTGTGCAAAGGTCCCCCTAGCCACAGCTGACAGATATTGCTCCAATTTTAGCTGTGAGTCTAGGAGGACACCCAAATTGTGAGCCCGTTCTGAGGGGGACAATTTCTCCCCCCCCCAGAACCAAGGATGGACAATCAGCATGGTCTTTATGAGGCAATACCCACAGCCACTCGGTCTTGTCTGGGTTAAGTCTGAGCCTGTTGACTCCCATCCATGCGCAGCCAGTCCCCGCCATTTCCCCTAGTTAGGGTTAGGGAGACAGAGCTGGAAATCAGGTAAGATGGCAAGCGGAGCCCTGTCTTGCTCCATGCCCCCCAAAATAACAAGACCTCCCTGAAAATAAGGCCAAGCACTTATTTCAGGGTTCAAAAAAATATATGACAGGATCTTATTTTTGGGAAAACACAGTATTGTGGTATTGCTTGGAAGACTTTTCAGTACTGAAATGTGCATTCATGCTCTAATATAGCTGGGCTCTTCCTCACCTGCTGAGCTATTTTTCTTTTCTTTTTTTCTCTCTGTCCCTCTTTTGGTGCCAGTGTTGGAAATGCAACAATGGGTCAAAGCCATTGCCCCCTCAATCCCCATCTGTTCTTTCTCCCTCTTCTAGTAGCCCCTCCCTTTCTAGGGGCTAAAAAGTAGGTTGGATCCCAATTCCAGTAAACTAACTTTTCCCTTTTGCTCCTTTGCTGCTTGTCTGTCTCCTTTTAGGACTCAACCAGGTGCCAGATCTCATCTACTTCCCTGTAGATGACAGCCCCACCACCACACTCCTTACCTGGGACTCCATCTACTTAAGTATCCATAATTCCCAATTAACAACCTCAACTAAGAGTGCTAGGATTGCAGTCATTGAATGAAACAATCATAGGATGTCTTGCTTAACAACTGCTTCGTTCAACAACTGCAATTCCTGGGCCCAGCTATGGTCATAAATCTGCCTGTATTGAAGAAATGCAAGAAAAAAAATGGCACTGATGAAGCTTTAATCAGCTTTAAAGAATTAATAAATTGTTTTGAAGCCTTACCAAACTGTGAACAGGAAGAAATTTTGAGACGATTGGATAAATTGAAACAAACACTGTTGCTAATCTGAACAGCGGCCAAATATTTAATTGACTTGGTATCTTTGGACCTCTTGTCTAACACCGATTCTGCAGGAAATTATTATAAACTCTTTGAATCCTGTAATCAAGCAACTCTTCACAGAAAATAAACAACCACATATACTTCTATTCTAAAACAGTCCAAATTGATTCTGTTTTGTTCACAATACAACAGACTGATAATCTACCCTTGGTTTTGTTCCTTTTTTGCTTTTAAGCCTCCCAATAAATAGAACAATGTGCAACACATAAAACAATGCCCCTCTTTTAAGTATCTGGGCATCACCTTTTATAAATACTTTTTTATGGAAAGCACACTTATTTACTGTCTGGCAACTGCCCAGTATATTATGAGCAGTGATATTCTGATGTTTTTCTATGCTAAAGTAGGGCAATTGGCAATTATAAAAAATGTAGAAGCCTCTCCAGAACCTGGTTAATATAACCAGAGATTCAGTGATAAGAGCTTTAGCATATCTTTGCTTCCACATCATGCCTTCCACATGTCTCAAGCAGAGATTTTGTAAGCTTCCTGTCAAATAGCGACTCGGTTCTTGTAGTGTTAATCAAGTGGAGAGTATTATGTCCTGCAATGCCCCATTTACAATAAGATCAGGGACAGATTATTAATGGCAGGTAAAGTTAAGGGTTACAAGTTTGAAAAATTGAACTGTCTTCTTGCAAAACTGTTCCTAACAGTTAGCAACTAGGTTGCTATTCCTGCTCTGCTGTCATTTAAACTTAGAAAAAAAAAACACTTACTGTAAGTTCTTAGCTGTAACTTTGGCTCCCAGCGACCAGTAAGATCCTACAGAGTTGGCATCCTCTGGATCCCGTCAGCTAAACAATGCCGGCTGGCGGGCCCGCGGGTTAGGGCCTTCTCTGTGGCTGCCCCAGCTCTATGGAACCAGTTACCTCCTGAGATCTGGACTACCCCCACCCTATTGGCCTTGCGGAAAGTGGTGAAGACCTGGCTTTTCTGGCAGGCCTGGGGCCGTTGATCTCGCTGTTGCAATCTTGTGAGATCCAGCCATGAATGGTGTGCATGGGCTTTTAATGTTTTTAAAAATGTTTTTATAATGTTTTTTAATAATTTTCCTACGTTCTTTTTTGTATTATTTTTGCTGTAAGCCGCCCAGAGTCCCTTGGGAGTTGGGCAGCATAGAAATTCAATAAATTAAATTAAATTATTTTTGCTGTAATCTTTTTACATCTAATACTTCTTTTATTACTTTGCTAGACAACCCATGATATGTTGGGTCACCCTTCCAGAGCTATTTCTTTACTTAACAAAGAAACAAAATGATCAGGGGTACAATGCTATTTTTTTTTTAAATTAAAGAAGACATCATTTTATTAAAGAAGAAAGATGTGTAGCAAGACAAATATAGATGCTTTTCATTTAATAAAGGGCGCTTTTGACAAAAATATTTGTGGTGGGTTTGTCATTCCTTAAAGATACTCCAAAGTTTTCACTTCTTTTTCCTCAGCTTAAAGTGACCTGGAATACTGGTTTTTTAGATAAATCAGCACATTCTCCATGGTTTGTCCTTGCATTTTATGTATAATGTATAGTGGGAGCAAAACATGACTGTACTGAGAATTGCATCTGCTGAAGAGGAACATCTTCATCTTCTGATATATTAAGTGCCGTTCTTGGAATCATGGCAATGACTTCTTCCATGATCATCTGCATTTCTTTGCAAAGCTTTGGAATATCAATGTTCCTCATTAAAATGATGATAGATCCTATCTTCAATTCTAGCTTATGTGGTAGCAATCCAGACAATTCAATTGAATCAAGGAATTCTGTTTAAAAAAGAGGAACATTATCTACTTTATCAACAGCATTGAAGGAGCAATATTCTTTCATTCCAAGGAAACATCTTTTGCATGTGGAACAGAGGTGAGTTTCAGCAGGTTCTGACCAGTTCTGGAGAACCGGTAGCAGAAATTTTGAGTAGTTTGGACAACCAGTAGTAAAAATTCTGACTGGCCCCGCCCCCATCTAGTCTCTGCCTCCTAAATCCCAGCTGATTGGCAGGAAATGGGGATTTTGCAGTAATCTTCCCCTGGATTGGGGTGGGAATAGAGATTTTACAAATAACATTCCCCTGGATTGGGGAGGGAATGGAGATTTAACAGTATCCTTCCCCTGCCATGCCTACCAAGCTATACCAGCCCACTATGCCATACCCACAGAACCGGTAGTAAAAAAATTTTAAACTCATCACTGATGTGGAACTTTTTTAAAAAAATCATTTCATTGAGACGAACCAAAATATCTGAGGATAGAGTACTATGCATGAGTTTTGAATTCCTGGACAATGGGATTGGATGCAGATACATGTGTATATTTGTGTGCCAGAGAAGGGGCACATAAAGTGATAAAAACTATCAAGGCCTTTCTTCATGGACCTTAAAGTTGTTGCTTCTTTAAAACCCATATAATCAGTCAATTACTTGCTGCTAGTGAGATTTGTCTGTGTAAGGGATTGCAAGACTGACTGGAAAACTGTCACAGAATGTTGAAAATGGAGCTCATATGAGTGTAGCCACAATTCAGCAGCCTAGCAGCAGCCAGTAACACTGAAACAACCATAACTTCCTCAAATTTTATCCTCAAAGGGGTTATTGGTCATGGATTTTGGACACATTCTATATGTTATCCCATTAGAGCTACCTTGGCTCAAAAATTGTTGCCCTATGATGCTCTCTTTTGCCTAGGTGAAAGTCATGACAAAAGTTTAATAGTATATAAATTTTATAATTTCATTATATTATTGTTATGTTATTGTATTCTTTAGTATTCCATATGTTATGACTTGTGGTTTCAACAATAAACTTATTTACATAGTTAGTTAGTTAGTTAGTTAGTTAGTTAGTTAGTTACTTACTTACTTACTTACTTACTTAATTAGTAGCTTCTATTAAATAAATCAGAATGACTCAGTAATCATAGCTTGGTATATTAAACCCAAGACAAAGATCTTTGGCTTTTGATTTAATGAGCTAATGGGTTAAAACTCTACTTCTGCTTGTGGTATGCTTTATTTTCAAATTCTCAAAGAACTGAAACAAATATATGTAAAATAAAAAATGTAATCCAGGAAATATTTTCTCCCAAGAGATCCATTTACCATACAACACTGTGCAAGAAATTTTTCATAAAATAACGCATGGTCTGCTTGAGAGTTTGCATATAATGATCCATACTTGTAAACATTACAGACAATCCATTTTTCATGAGCTTTATAAAGGTAATAGTCTAATAGAAGCAAAGAGTCCAACTACAAGTTAACATGTTAATTTATCAGAATAAAATCAAATTCAAGAACAGAGAAACAGCAGTTAGATCATTATTCCTAGACAATATGTGCAAGATTTCAGGTAGAAATACCTACTAGGACTTCCCAACTAAAGTAATATTAATTACTGCATATTCATATCTATGATTTTGCACTTTTTATTTCCAAGTATGCTTCTGTATCATGCATACACCTCAAAGACATTCTCAGAAAGCAAATCTAATTTCAGTGTGCAACCCAGTGTTTTCATACCTGACAGGAGGCTTTGAGGTAGTAGAATGTCAGAGAGGTGGTAGAGAGCATGCTGGGAGCAATTGAGAATATGACTTATGATAAACGGTTGTTTTGCATCTAGCCATGACAATAGTGACCAAACATGTCTATTGGCTATAAAGGTTAGGGACCTGTATGCTATCATGTTTTTAATTTTAAATTGATTGATGGACTATAATTTGTTCTTTCTCTAAGAGCTTAAGCTTCCTCTCTCTCCTTTAACAATTTTTTAAACAATTGTACATTGCCAAGAGTCACTGAAAGTTCAGCTGCATGTAAATATATCCAGTTATTATGGTTGGTTGCACAATTAGCCAGTTAGACTGGAATTGGCATTTTTGTCCACTTATTGGGTCTTTCCTAAGGACTGTGATACACAGATATTTTGTTGTTTGATAATATTAAAGGTTAAGTTGCAGATCTATTCTTCCAAGTAAAGCTGCACTTTGCAATTGACACTGGTGATTTTGTCAATGCCAATGGTGTTTAAGTGATGCTCCAGATGTTTTTGAATTGCACCCAAGGTGTCTATTACTATTGGTACTATTTTTTTCTTTCTTCTATTTGCTGCTCTTTTTAGTTTGTGATTTTCTCCAATTCTTTCTCTTCTCTTCTGCTTCTCTGCAGAGTTTCCATTTTGCATCATTTGATAATTTTTCAATTCTGGCCTTGATTGCAATTATTCATATAGTTTGCTATGGGTCAGTCAAAATTTAAGCCTTCTGTTTCTATTTTTTAAATGTTATAGTTGCAAGCTATTCCTAGCTTTGTCTTCATACACTTCCCACTTGATATTTTGTAGAAATTGACCATGTGATGGTTTTCCTTGCTAGCATTTTCTTTGTGATTTTAATACATTATTTCAATATTCATATTTTGTTTTCTGTTCATTCAGTAAGTTACAATTTTTAACTTGCATTGTCTTTTACATATTCAGTGTCTTTTACATAATCAGCCAATACATGCTTTTCTTCTTCAACAATTTATTTGATCTGAAGCAAACCTCTACCTTCATTTCTGCTGGGCAGGTATCAGTGGTGGGTTGCTCCCGGTTCGGTCTGGTTCTTGCGAACCGGTAGTAACGGCGTCCCACCCAGATATCATCATGAACGATCTGTGCATGCACAGAAGCGTGCACACACATGCTTCACTTGTGCGCACACATGCAGTCCAATCCAAACCAGTAGTCGAGGTAAGTAGAACCACCCCTGGCAGGTATGATCTATCACTATCACAAGTGTTATATCTCATTCTCATAATAACTATGTGAAGTATATAAGGTTCAGAGTTAGTCATCAAGCACTCCACTAAGTTTTACAGAAAACAGTAGAATTGAATGTATGCCTCCTTAATTTACGTTTAACTACATCTATCTTTCTAAACCTGATGCCCTCCTAATTCATAGGGGAATATATATTGAAATACCCAGCTAGCCCAGATATGTTGGTTGGGATTCCAGAACTTCTAATTCTAAAAGGCAATAAATCAACACATACTGGCTTCTCTGATATTTGCATGTCATGTATTTCTCCAGTTTTATAAATTAAAAATTTAGAAGTGGTAGTTTTAGCAACTTTGGGAAGTTCTGATAAATTTCAATAAAGGT